GACTGGAAACCCTTTTCTGAGCTCGCCCCGACTCTTACCAGCCTGTGGCACCAGAGGGAGCATTTGATTCAACTTCAACAGGCAGTTCCACAGGATTGGGTTAAATTTTGGTTAAAGGCCTGACATTTCAGAAAGAAACATGGTACAAACGGGAGCAGGATGATGAACCGACTGTCATTTGAAAAATGGAAGATTATTCTCTGGTGGCCGACATCCCGTTCTCCTGTTGGATGATGCAAGGAGGATGGATGTCAATAGGGGAAAAGCTTACCTTGGCACCGCAGCAGTTGCCTGTCCCCCCCATTGAAGAATTGTTTCCTGTGTGTGTATTGCAGTACCAAGACGGATACAGACCTTATTGCCTTTCTCAACTGGCCTACTCACTGTCTGTGGATCCTAGGAGTCGGGGATGGGAGAACTCCAAGCAGAGGCATCAAATTGTACCAGTGTATCAGTATTCTACTAAATTGGGTTACCGATTATCTATGATAGAAGTGGACATCAATTGGCGAGTGGCAAACAGATGGATGGCAACTAATTGGATACAGGACTTATTGCTTAGAATTGTCGAAGTGTTGCCTATGTTTTGGAAACAGTTGATGGATTTAGCAGAAACATGCGAGCCTGCTGTGGCTGATGATGCACCTGTCTCTCCCGGTTGCGGCATGGTGTTCCAGGCGTACATCCAAAGCATCCCCCGATTGTGAGATTGTCCGGGGACGAGGATAGAAGACATCCACCACTTTGCTCTCCTTTGCGACCTCTCCCGACCTTTTTGGGATTGGTGGAGGGGAGGATTGGTGCCTGTCCCAGGAGCTGACACAAGGTCGACAGACCAGTTTGTCCTCATGGGAACAGTGGCCCGATCGACGTGTCAAGGCTGTCAGATGCATTACGCAGAAGAGACAATCAGAGGGGCCATCCTGTGGACCTTATGGACATTGAGAAATTCTGCGGTAAGAATGGGAGAACATCTAACACCTCCAATGGTCAGAGCGGAAGTCAAATATGGCATAAAGCAGGCGATCTTTGCATGGGAATACAAAGTTCAAACGAAAGGATACTCTGCTAAATCACTCAAACTGTTTGTTACTCGCTGGGGGGCTTTTTCGGGCTCGTTGTCAATAGCCCATGATGAAGGGAAACGGCCAGAACTGAGATTCACTGCCTTTTTCTTATGATTTTTTTTTTTTTTTTTTTTTTTTTTTTTGTGTGTGCGTGTGTGGATACTACAGATAGTACTAGAC